ACCTTGCCTTCCTCTTTGAGACCCGTTTGACACTGCTTGATCTCTTGACTTTGAACCTTAATGGCATCTTTCTTCGAGCGAGCCTTCTCTAACTCATGTTGGAGAGACTTGATGGTGATCTCTATATCCTTCTCTTCTTGTTGTAATTTTTGCAGAGAAGACACCATTTCCGTCGTTGAGTCTTTGATCGTAAGCAGGTCAGTTCGGAGCTTTTCGAGTTTAGCACGGTCTTCTTCGCTTTCAACCTCGACATGGGTTACCTCTTGAAAGGTAGTAGACCATTGGGATCGAAGGTCCCATGCGAGGCTAAAAGGTTTGACAAACTCTTGCAGCTCGGAATGGACCTCAGAGAAAGGCTCGAGTAGGATAAAAGATCGTCCATCATTTGTTCAACCTCTGTCTTGAACTCAGGAATGAGGAAGGCCTAATCAAGATCATCAACATATGCCTTTGTTCGAAAAGAATCAAGCAAAGGTTGATATGATGGAACCTCAGAGACGTGCTCGATGGTTTTCTCTTTTTCCTTCTCCGACCCAGAAGGACCACTTGTCCAATTATCCAAGACCTCGAAGATACTGTTAATATCTTCATCTATGATTTTTAATGAAACCTGATGTATTTTCCTTTTGTACAGGTTCGACTGAATCGCCTCGACCCTTCACAACTTCCCCTTCAACCCAAGGCGGTGTTACTTCTTCTATCCAAGGCCTTTCGTCAATTCCTTCTCCGGACCTGGACTTGCTGTCCCTTTCGTGTACTTTTTATATTAATATATTGCCATTCGATTTATTGCTATGAAAGCTATTCTTTAATTATACGTTATGTCGTGAAGAAAGGGGCATTCATGGTTCTGTTTGAATCAATCTGAAGTAGATTTTAGAATATAAATTATTGGTGTTCAAGGAGTAAAATTGTTAAATTGTAATATTTTTTTAGCTGTTTATTAAAATTATATAACAGTTCTGTGCTGACGACAATTTTCTTATTCTTTTTCTCTCTAAGGGACGTTCATTCTCAGGCAGCACATTTTTCTTATTATTTTTCTCTTTAAGGGACATTCGCTCTCACGAATCATATTCTTGAGTGTTACAAATTTTAAGAATAATGATTCTTAGGAATAATTAAAATTTGTTTCATTACTTATAAAGGTTTATAAATATATTCATTCAAAATTTTTGAAAATTAAAAATTTTCGTTGATTATAATAGTATATTTTTAGATATATAAATATTTATTACAAAATTATTTTTTATTAAAATAAATTTATTAGATTTTTTTACTTAAATTTATTATAAATATAACATTAAATTATTTTAAGAAAATTGAAAATTTATTAAAATTATTAAAATGCATAATTAAAAAAATACTATATTATAATTAAGAAGAAAAAAAATTATTTCATTTCATTTAAATAAATAAATAAATAAATAAATGTTAACAAAATATCATTAAAATATAAATATAAAATATGATTTAATAATATTGTTAAAATTGATAAGATTAAGAAATAATAAGATGTAAAAAAGAGAGAGAGAAATAAGAATATGAGATGGAGGAGGAGAGCGAGAGATGAGGAAAAAAAGAGGAGTGAGAGTGAGAGAGACAGAGTAAGAAAGATAAATAAGAGAGGGAGAGAATAAATTATCAATATTTAAAATATTTTTTAATTATTTTTTTATTATAGGTTTATAAGTTTACAATTTATGTGAGTGTATATCAACATATATGGTTATGTATGAATTGTTTCTTCAACAAAAAATGATTTGCTTTTTTTCTTATATTTTTTTAAATTTAAATTTTAATAATATTGAGTAAATTATATTTTAAAAATAAATTTGTTGGATTTTTAAAAATTAATTTTATTAATTTAATTAACATAAATAGGTTTTTAAATAGGTTAATAGACCAGATCTACAAAAAAGTGTATAATTGATAATAGATCAAATTTAGGCTTTAATTTTGTAAAACAAATTCAGCTTATATATTCAAAATTTGACCTGACTTAACTTATTTTATCTTTATTAACAATAATGTTAATAATTAAAATAATAACAAATAAAAATTTGCATAACAACTAAATAATATGATACATATGAACATTATAAATAACTAATAATAAATTAAACACATTACTAGTTTTAAGTTTGAATATTCTCCCATAGTCTTTCATCATGATCATCACGTGTAGTATAGTATGTACATTGTATTTATCATTGTTCACATTAAACTTAAGCATGCGTGTGGAGAATGAAGGAGTTTCACAAATTTCAAGTGTTGAATCTTCATGGTCATTTGTACCATGCCTGTTTTTTCTTGTAGAACAATTGACCAATTCTTGTTAGTAGGAAAAATAATGTAAAACACTTGTTTTGCTTGGTTTTCCATGATGAATGGTTCATCTTTAGAAATTTCTTTTTATAGGTTAACCAAGGTAAAACCTAGCCCATTGATCTCGACTCTAGTCTTATTGTTAACCCATTTACACTTAAAAATTGACACTAAAATTTGTGTAATCAACCAATCATATATATCTTTCCAAATTGTCCAAACAGACAATTCAAAAATTAATATAATAATTATACATTAATTATGTAACCATGGTATTCAATATCATACAAGAAACTAAGATTCACTAAATATCCATCAATTAATAATCCTAGTAGAACTATATAAATTATGTTAAATAAACCCACGTCATCTTATGTGTTTATTTAATTATGTACATTATAGGTGTACACATATAACATTCTCAAATGAGCAATATATAATAACACTTATTTAAATATATACATTATGGGTTAAATATGACAACTGGACCTGTCACCAAAAGTCTCCACATGAACATATTCCATCTTTAAACAAGTGGAATCGGGCACTATCCCTTACAAGAATCTCCCTCTGGGTGATCTTAGATATATACTTAGTTGCATTGTGACAATCTCCACAAACTCTTAAATTTTTAACTACTCGTATGGGCAAACCAGGAGGAATAAATATCAACCCAAAAGCAATAGCAAGCTTTTCACTATGATGATTAAGCATATTTATTTTTTCCGAATCCTCAACATCATGCAGAACAGCATTCATATCAGGCACATATCCCTCTTGTATTATTTTATAGTTCAACTTTTCAAGCTCCAAATATATCTGATCTGAATATGGGTTTGACCGATCACCAGCAGAAAAAACGTGCACTAGGTTCTTATATTTGATCCAACTACATCCAGGTTCCTTTCTGAGACCCTTATCTCTCATCCCTTTTCTTAATTTGGCAACTTCTTCCCATTTTCCTTTAGCAGCATAGATGCTCGAGAGTAAGATGTAACTAGCAGTGTTATGTGGTTCTAATTTTAGAAGAGACTCAGCTGCCCACTTGCCAATTTCCATGTTTCTATAGAATCTACATGAACTTAATAAGGATGCCCAACCAATTGAATCAGGACTGAAAGGCATCTTATTAATAAAATTCCTCGCATCTTCTAACCTCCCAGCACGACTGAAGAGGTCAATCATACATGTGTAATGATCATGAATTGGTATAATCCTATGTTCCTTAATCATGGATTCAAATATCTGATTTCCTTTCTCTACCAGTCCTGCTCTACTGCAAGCTGAAAGAACTCCAATAAAAGTAACCTTGTCAGGTTTGAAACCATGGGCTAACATGCTTTCAAATAACCTTATTGTTTCA